GAATCTGCAAGCAGATCGCCATTCTCATCCTTCACTAAGTTACTGCTAGACTGGTAACCCCTCTTAAAGTCATTTATTCCTCTATACAGATCTCTAATGTTCTTGTTCTTACTGTTCCTTGCAAGCTCATCAATTTTGCCTTTCAGATATTCCCTCTTTTTGTTCCTGAAATGTCTGCTGGTTTCACGTGTTATATTGTTCAGATTATCCCTATTCATTTCGCCTGGATCCTGTACCAATGGAATTTGATTGTTTTCGTTGGTCTGATAATTATGTTCATCCTTCATGGAACCATAGCTTATGCTTCTTCAGTTCATAATAACTCAGACTCTCCTTGACAGAAATTTTGATATTCTCTCTAATAGTTTCCCAAGTTTCATTAACATCCACCTCAGTGTCCAAGTTTTCCACAGCCGCGAACCCATTTGAGATTTCAACAGGACATTGCTCCTTTCCCTCTAACGGTTTTCACTATCAAATAGCGCGTCCTCAGGTTGCGGATGGAGTAAACGAACTCCAGATATGGAAGGTAACTACGAATGTATTGAATAAGCAGTCGTGGACTGCCTACAAGGGATGGTCCTCCAGCTTGTGTGTTGGGAGTGAGACTAACAACTCCTCACCGTGAAACATAAGCTTGTTAAGAAAATTTGCAAGAAGCTTCGGACCTGGACGTATTTCTTGGATAAACGACCTCTGAGCACATCTTTTATGAACCCACTCACACTTCACCGTGCAATAATGAGTTACCCTACATGTTTCGGCTCCTGAAGCCATCATCAGGCGGTACAATTTAACAAACTATTTGAATTATTGAATTGAGCTATAAATGTATGGTCTCTTATAATTTAAATACATGTAACTATACGTATCTGGTTTCCTGGGGCACGCGGTAGCGTAGTTGGATGAGGCGCTGTACTACAAGCCTGAAAGTTGCGGTTTAGTTCCCGGTGAGGTCATTGGATTTTTCATTTTACCTAATCCTTCCAGGAGCACTATGGACCTGGGGTCGACTTAGTCTCTAACAGAAATGAGTACCAGGAATCTTCCTGGGTGGGGTGGGAGGGGAAGGGCTGCTGGCTTATGAGGCTAACAACCGTACCATCTGCGAGCCGATTGTCTAGAGAAAATGTGGGGATCTCGAAGTCTCAGAACACTACGGGTTTTCACGGCCTGTTACAGGGATAGCTTTACCTTTTTTATCTGCTTTCCTATTCAGTTAATACTTGTATAACTGAAATTAGTTTAGAAAGTCAGTGTCAGACTGGCATATATTTCGTTATATATCATTTTTATTTTGCATCTTGGAAGAGGTATAAACCCACTGAGCCAGTATTACTTTGTGAGTAAAAGGCATCTTCGCCACTGCGACTTTCAGTATCAGTGTCGGACTGGCAATCTTTTCGACTAGTATTATAATTTATTTCATCACTATTTTGCGAGTACTACCAACAGGTGAGAGTGTCGCTTTGTCAATTAACATAATTTATTAGATTTTGCTGGAAACCATCCTCCCCCAAGTGATTCTTCAATCGCACAAGGCGAATATCACGGTCAGTGGCGTTTCTCGGGGGAGGCCAAGGTTATCTGGGGCCCAACTGAGTCGACTGGAGGTGAAACATTCGCAACACTGGCCAGCCAAAAGGAAACAAAGACGTCGTGTGTTTCGCTAAATAAGAAAAGCAGGAGCACCATTTTCTATAGCAAAAAGTGTGATGTTGTGCTGTGTGTCACGGACAGCTTCGAGAACTGGCATGCGCGTCAGAGGGTAAGGTATCGTAAACTGTGAAGTGACGCAGTTCAAACTCGCGTACAGTCTGAATAAAATATTGTTGTATATAGTGTGATTATATTTACAATATCACCAGGTCTCAAAGTTGAAAAAAAGTACAGGTAAGTCCTCTGGAATTTCGTAACACAATAAAGATTATATTTTGCACTTCATGACAAAATAATCACAGTTAATTTTCATTTGTAAAATTGCTCTTTTGTATATATGTAGAAAATTTTATTGTCTTTCAGGTTGTTTTTAGTTCGTGTCTCTATGTTGCCTAGAACGGAAAATATGTAGTTTTCTCTGAAAGTTTGCAATGATAATTAATTAGGGTGATTTAACTTCTGACCTCAGAGAGCTCCCGGCAATTTAAAAGTCCGTATGTTAAAGATTAAATCATATATAAAATATAAATTAAATTTTATTGAAAATCTTATATTTAAAAATGCTTAAAAACGTACTTATATATATATATATACTCGTATACTGTATATAACAAAATTTAAATATCATAAAATATGTTAGGTAGTTGTGTTGATGTATAAACAACAAGTTAAAATTTACTTTCTCTATGCTTGTAGCTGACCGCCTCTGTGGTCTAGTGGTCAGAGTTCCTGGCTACATATCCAGAAGCCCCGGGCTTGATTTCCGGCACTACTAGATTTTCTGAGAAGTAGTGGGTCTGGAGCGGTGTCCACTCAACCCCGTGGGGATAACTGAGAAACTATTTCAAGGAAGTAGCGACTCCGGTCTAGAAAACCGAGATTAACGGCCGTGGGGATCCGTTGAGTTGACCACGTGACGCCCTCTTTCCGCAAAAGTTGGCCGACAAGCGGCGGTCGCTCGGCCGGTATAGTTCGCTTGCGGACTACAGGCCACGGAGTTATAATTACTCTATTTGTCATGTATTGTTTTCCGTTGTTCTAGTTTATAGTTATTGTCTAAAATATCTTTATATAAAGATTTTATTCTGGTTAGAACCTATTATCTGGATTGTAGTGTTATTGAGCTCTCCTCAAGTGTTGTTGCGGAACTTCCATGTTCGATCGTGATTGGGCGTTCTATATTCCTCCACTCGTTTTGCTTTCCGAGTGGGCAGTTGCACAGTCCGGAAAGCAGTTGCTAGGTTCTTTAGCTTCTGTTCCACGTTTTCAAGATCAGATTTTTCCTTATGTTTAAGGTTTATACATTTCTCACATTTCCGCGTTCCACTTATAGATTACAAAACATCTCGTTTAACATCATTGTGTTCTCAAGTTTACCAAGGGCATCTCGTCTCACGTCATTGTGCTCTCAAGTTTACCAAGGGCATCTCGTCTCACCTCATTGTGCTCTCAAGTTTACCA